CATTATGAAGACAGAGTATCATGGAAATGGGCAGTGATACCACCAGCCTAGCTGCATGGGTTTGCCTTACTTTCTTTTGATGTTGCACAAATCACCTCCTATTAAGATACGTCTTCCTGCTTAGCCTCACTTCCTGCTTAGCCTTACTTCCTGCTCTCTTCCCTGTTGTAAGCGTATGTACTTATTCAGGTCAGTCACATATGTTATGAAATGCAATTTGACTATAATTAGGTGTCTGCAGTAACACCCTCAGTGGGGTCAGTTAAACTTGGAGGGGAGGGAGCTGATAAATGATTCACTTTAGTTACTATCATTCATGTTAAAATTGCCTCTAATGATGATTAAGAAAACCCAAGAGAGTTTCTGTTCTCTGTATTGTACAGTAGAAAATATGTCGGAGATCCCAACCAAATGTCAGTGCAGCAGATAAAGATCCTGGTTTGGGTCTGAAAACACTGTACTTGAACTATGTAGTTGTGCTGTTCAGCTGGACTTGGATTGACACCGTGCCGTGACGCTGCAGGTGCAGCCTTTCTGATTCTGGAGCTGATACAAACTTAAATACGCCCTTCAAAAATAGGACAAAAAATTGCAGGTTTTAGGGGAAATTGTAGATCAGTGATTTTTTTCTTCTTTTTAAGATGATGCATAAACAGGTTTCATCAGGTTTACAGAATATGACTAAGGGCGTGGAGATTTTTGATGCAAGATAAATGTCTTGTCTGTGGCAAAAGGATGAAATGAAAGGACCTGAATTATAGTAAGACTGCTCTATAGGCAGTTTTTAAAAAGCTGCAATTTTTGAAACTTCAGCATAACGAGGGCTGTAGATAGCCTCTAGTTGTAAAGTGCTGCCTCCAGCCTTTGATGGTAATATTTCATGTCTGTAAACATGCATTTTGATGACTGGAATCCAGTTCCTACTGGAATTGGAAAAAAACTTGCGCTGTAGTTTTGCTGGCTGTGCTGCTTTTTCACTGTCAGAAAGAGATGTCCTGTGGTCCCAAACAAAAGCCCGACAAAACCTTGCCTGCCATCACCTCTCAATTAGGAATCTAGCACTTGACTACAGATCATCCTGAAAAGCAAATTGTGGCCATTTAAAAACACGTAAATTACAAAGAGGATTTTCTGCAGAGATACTACCTGAGTATTTTTTTTTTTTCCTAAAGGAAAAAGAAATTTAGTACAATTATAGAACTTCAGTCAGGTTCTGATTTAGTTTTCATTTTAATTGAGGGGAGCCTTTACACCACCTTAATATGGTTCAAGCCCTGGATCTTGTGAAAGCCATTCACTTACCGTGATGCAGTCATGTGTACAATTTTATTTGAACATGCTCTAACTTTGGTTCAAGATAAATTTTGATGGAGAAGAGGCTGTGGTTGCTGTGCTTTGTAGTTTGCAACTGTAAGAATTGAATGAGGATAATTTTGTGTCTTTCAGATTTTTCTCTGATTCCACTTTCTCCCACACTCCTTACCCATCAAATTCAAGTGAAGTACATTGATGTTATGCCAAGAAATATTTGTACTTTTTTACCGTTTCTTGCATTCTTTAGATCTTAACATATTTTTCCTTAATTTTTGCTGTTAGAATTTTACGTGCTGCTTTTAATGAAGTAAATTAAATGGAGAGAGATGCTACCTTGAGCTTGGTGAATCTAGTGCTTGATTCAGAAGCAAGTAGAGAAACAATTCTCTGTCAGGCTCGCTCTCTCTGCTATCTGGCAGTATCTTTTTTCAAGTAATAAAATGTGTTTATCACTTGAACAGCATGTTTATACTTGAGTTTTAAAATCTACTCTGTTTCAAAAACTCTTTCGTTTGAGTAACATGGCTGCTGTCTAGCAAGCTGCCTGTCACTGGTGAATTCCCTGTCTCAATTTTACATGCTAATTAGGGGTAATGTTGAAGAGCGGTATTATTGCTGGCTTATAACATAGAGAAGATCCCTGATCTACACACAAATGTCGCTTTTATGAACCTGAACCAAACCAGGCTGCAGAATGTGAAGTTAGAGAATATTTGTATAGCTCCGCTGATACTTTCACAATGCCGTTTGCTAGGGAGAATCATGAGTTACACCTCAGAAGCTGGACAGGGGAAGCTGGGGGCCAGATTCTGACACTTTATCCATGCTGAGAAGCAGCGTATTTCAGGAGTAGTTCCTGGAATAAAGGTTGTCTTACTAATGGTTCAAATAGTAATTTTCAGATGGATAATTGCCTCCGTTGGTGATGGGGTGCCAATGCACCAGTCTACCTCTGCCTTCCCTGGTCTTTGCAGATATTATGGCATGCAGAAGTCTTATGACATACCTGAGAAGAAACACGCTTTATTTTTTCAACGGTGGTCTAAAAGCAGGAGTGGGATTGAGTTGAACCAGTATTATTGACTCATAGTAATGCATTTTGCTCCCAAGAATCCATCAACGTTTTGACGTAACGCAACTGAGAAGTGCTCAAAGCAAAGCATTTCGTTCTGTTAATTATTGTAATGAGAAAATAATTACATGATTATCAGTAGTAAGTCTGGTGATATTGTATGCGGGTTAATTATTTAAAGGACAGGAATTATTATACTGCACATGCCATGCTCATGGCTGCCTACTGAGGATTATTTTAAAACACAAGTATATGTGTATTGAGTATAACTGCTGGGTGCTATACAAATGTGGAATAGAATTTCTGCCATGAAATAGATACACTTGAAATGAAAAGAAAACATAATTACTGTATTTAGCCTTTATGTTGGATAGAATTTTTTAATGAAACAAGAAAGAATTTGCCAAGAAAAAAGGATGGAACCTGAAAAGCATTAAAAATAAAAGGGGTGTGTGTGAAAACCTGGATTCAAGGCATAAACATGAGAAATGGTATATTCAGTTGTTTGTTTTAAACTTTGCTTGGTACTCTGAAAAAGTTATTCTGATACCATATTATACTCAAAATACAGTAATTTCTTTAAAGTCTTGCTTGTACTTTACTATCCAATAGACTTCACAGCCTATGCTAAATCAGTCTGTCTCTCTTTAGACCAACTATTACTTGTTTAGGACCAAAAGATAAATTGGAGATTACTTCTCTGGGTTTGAAACCATTTGTTTAACTCTGAGTCCTTCCACAAGGATTTCCCGAGCTGTGTACAGAAAGGGATTCATGAGGAATGGCCTGAAGCATAAGGGCTAATACAACGGGAGACTCAGGTCTAAAGAAAGGCCTTAAAATGAAGTCACCAGGATGACTGTAGAGGGGAGAAAAAGCATGATAATCTGACCTTCAGCAATCCCATCTAGGTTTATTTAGGAGTGTTGCAGTGAGTTCTTTTTTTCTAAGGTGGTGCACCCATTCCTGTAGCATTCCTGTGCATTAGTCTTCCTAATACTCCATTTTGGTGAGCCTTCTTCCAGCGTTGGGGTAGGATATATGGTAAGTCCACTCCGAGCCCTACGTGAGATGCACTAATGGCAGAAGGGAGGCATCGTGTAAATAATTGATGCCGAACGAGAAGTGCAGAAAATATCTGTAACTTTTATTTTTAGGTGAAATGGATGTAGTGGCCATGACTCATGATTTAAGCCTGCTCTGAGTCTACCGCTGAAAGCAGATTTGGAAACTCTTAAGTACATAATAGTCAAGATTTTTTGTCTGTAGTTTCTTGCTTGCGTGTAAAGTGTTATTTTCTGAGGATTTCCATATTAGTTTGTTTTGGTTGCTAATAAATAAAATTGTCCATTCGATTTCCTGTGGCGAGTGCAGAAATCGGGTGTTACGCTTGTCACATGAAAAGATGTTACTCACCTTAACTGCACTAAATACACCTCCCTAAGACCATTTCAGCACTTTAGTCTTTGCATTATTCTTCATCCCTGAGATTTGTGGAGTGGTAGAAAAACCAGCAGATAATCTTTCTTGGTCATCAGCTCGGAAATTTCTCTGAGTTTTCAATAATTTCTCGTGACTGACAGTAGCCCTGTATCCAGTAGCCCTGTATCCAGGGGAGTCCTTAAATAAGATTTTTTTTTAATTTTTTTTTATTTTTTTGGCCTGCATCCTGTATATGCAGAAGCTTCTATGAGAAAGGTGAGCCCAGCTTATCACTTTTACCTACATCAGGAAAGCGACAGTGCCATTAGGGAACAGTATCAGTCATAACAGAAAGCTGCAAAATGGAGCCAGAAAAGGCAATTGGTGAATATTCAGGGCAAAAATAGAAGAAGAAAAAGGGAGGAGACAGCAATGGCATAACCAAATCACTTTCCTCATATCTAGTGGAGATGTTTCTCTCTTTAAGTGTATTTAGATGAGAATGTGGAATAGTTATACATTTGCATTCGACAACCAGGAAATAAATGAAAAATAAAATTTTTATTTTTGAACTATATTTATTAAATCACTTTAAATTCTATACATGTGCATAGGATTTTCCAGTTCCTCTTTTTTTAGTCTTTCTTGGTGTCTTAGTGTTACCCGAATACTTGTAGTTCTTGGTACTTCTTCCCTGGTTACCCCATGAACATGGCATTGTAGCCCCTGGTTTTATCGTTCAGGTAAGTAATGAGGCAAGAGCAATTAAAGGGAAATAATATCTTAAATGTCTCTCTCTGAGCCCTCTCCTGTAGTGTTCTCCACACATCAGCATAGCTCCCAGAGCTTTGGGGATGATGTGTTTCATGGTCACTGCTTGTTTTGACTGCCACAACATGAAAAGCCACCACTCTTCCAGCCGTCTCCTGAGACATCCATAATCCTGGCATTCCTAGTAAATGGGGAACTGGGGGGCTGGTGGTGCTGCTTACAAATAGATTTGAGTTCTCATTTCTCAACATTGTTTCAGAAATGTATTGTGTGTAGTAGTTGCAGAAGAGAAGTAATAGTTCCTCCATTTTGTGGAATGAAAATATATTTCTATGATGTTTGTCAGTAATGTAACATGCATGTTTTCCTACTCAATAAGCGATGGAAATATATTAATTGTAACTATTTTACAATCCTTTAGGTGGCTATAATAGCGGGAAATTTTGAGCTCGCTGAATATATCAAGAATCACAGGGAAGCTGATATTGGTAAGCACAATATTTACAGATGCTGAAAATAATTCATACATGTTTAAGCCAAGATTTTGCAAAAATGTTAAATTTGATTCTGTGTGAGATATGACTAAAGGGCTGATGGCGGTATTGTGTCAGGGAGATTTTAAAAGTAAAATTTCTTTAAAAGATGAGGAAGGGGAAAAAGCTGAAATGTTTTCAAAATATGCTCTGAAAATGAAAATTTAATAAGTAATGCAAAAGAGTGGTAGATGCTTTATTAGTATGCATTAGCCGGTTTGTAACAGATTAAATTCACATCCACATACCTGGCCAAATTGGCTCTTGCGGGCTGTTTTGGTGTCAGCCTAAAGCTGTTCTGAAGTAGGAAGAATTGGTCAGAAGAAGGTAAAGATGCTTCTCTGCAATTAAATGAATACATGGCAGAAACTGTCTATCCATCTCCGTAGAACCATCTCCTCTCACGGAGTTTGGTGTGTGGCACTGGATGAAGGCTAGCGACAGGCGTTAAGAGCAGAAAACCTTAAGGCTTTTTAAAGACTTTTTTTTTTTTTTTTTTTTTTTTTACATAGAGAGTTTTGCCATTAAAATAAAACCCAGTTTGATAAAAGTGATTTCTAATGCAGTTTAATTAAAATGAAGTAAAATGCTTTAATTCAAGTTAATTAAAGTTCCACAGGAACATCCTGAAGTTGAATGAAAAAAGGCATTCCCTTTGAAGCAAGAGGGTCTGTAAAGTTGCCTGCACTGATTTAAGTCAGTGATGCAAATCTATGACTTGATAGTAGAGAAGGCTGCGGGGAGACCTGATTGTGGCCTTTCAGTACCTAAAGGGAGCCTATAGGAAAGATGGGGACAATCTTTTTAGTAGGGCCAGCAGTGACAAGACAAGGGGTAATGGTTTTAAACTAAACCAGGGTAGGTTTAGACTAGATATAAGGAAGAAATTCTTTACAATGAGGGTGGTGAAACACTGGAACAGGTTGCCCAGAGAGGTAGTGGAGGCCCCATCCCTGGAAGCAGTCAAGGCCAGGTTGGATGGGGCTCTGAGCAACCTGATCTAGTTAGCGGTGTCCCTGCTCCTGCAGGGGGGTTGGACTAGATGACCTCTAGGGGTCCCTTCCAACCCAAAACATTCTATGATTCTATGATTAATCAATGTGGAAAACTAGGCCAGCTCATGTGAAACTTAGGACTGTGAAAGAATTGCTCTGGATTAAGACCTCTTTTCCATTTCCCTTCCCTGTTGCATATCATCAGCAGGGATATAGTTAAAAAGTCTGTGCGATAATGTGAATTCTCGTAGCACTGTGTTACTTTCAACTTTTTGCAGTATGCATTGAGAAAACTGAGGACACATTGCATAAAAGTTTTGCATAAAAGTCATGACTTCCGCATAAAAGTTTGTAGGGAGTTTGGAAGGTTTTTACGTGAGAAAGTGGGGTAGTTCCTTTCCATGTAAGAAGTCCTCATCCTTCTGTATTTATAAACAATCTGATGTAAAAAAATCACTAAAAATTAACCCGTTATTCCTAATAGGGTGAGCATCTTCTTGTTTACATATGGCTAATGTTTTTATAACTTTGTGAGGATGTTGAAATGAAAGGAAATAGTTGTTTAGGTTCAAATATTCCCTTTATTTCTGCCACGTTAGTTCTTGGTATTTTGGCTTGTGTGTAAAGTCAGTGCAGAACAAGTACTGCACATAGGCAATGCACGGTATTACATTGTATGTTGCTCTAAATGGATTTTGTTCTCTTAAAAATAGTTGTGTACAAGAAGAGAAACAAAGAGCGCAAAGGAATGACTCGCTAGTATTAATTGTGCATACACTTACAGTATGAGTAACTGTCAAGTAAAAGTAACCCTTACAAACAGTAGCCTCTAAAGTGGTTGCATGAAACCACATTGATGTTAATGTCATCAATTTTTGGACTGACTGGCTCTGCACTACTTTTCCTTTCCCTCGAGGAGTGCAGATTCCAAGTTACGTCATTATGGGGGAGAAATTGGAACGTTGTTATGAAGTAGATGGGTGAGACTCAGTCCAGGAAACAAGTGATAGCCATGTGGCTGAGGCTTTAGGCAGAACTTATATTGCTGACTGTAAAAACTTTCTGTAGGATTTGGTGATTTCTAGAAAAATACTTAGGAAGTATATTCTAAGGGAAGATTCTCAGAATTTTCATGATGCCTTTGCTTTTCCACTGAAAAACAGAAATATCGATGCTTCTGTGATTCACTTGCATTTTGCAAGATGGTGGTGGGTTGCACACATTATTTAAATTAGTAATTTGACTTAAAGAATAAGAATTACTTTGTTTCCTTTGTCCCTTAAGAGTTGTTATTTAAAAAAAAAAAAATTGAAGTAATCAAAATGTCTATTTCTGGAATGTCTCCCAGTTTAGAAAAAATAATAAATCAAAGAACAATATCTGAGCAGAAAAACCTGAGAGGTGGTGTGATGATGAATGTGCGGAATAATGTCAGCATTTAAACTTCAATGAGTTGGCTTTTCTTCATCTTACTTGTCTGGTTATCCACTATATTCATGTAGTTTTGGATGTATTCCAACATGTGTCATTTGAGTAATGTACCTTCTTCGAGTCCAGAGACAACAGGGTGGGAAGGAATAGCAAAGAGCTTGAGAACTGTTCTCATAAAGATAGGAAGGAGAGATCATGCTATGAAGTCTCTTGAGAAATGTTTCATCTTTCATCCCTCAGAAAGTGTGTTTGTGGTTAGATGTTGAATTTTGGTATTGACCCAGTTCATGAAACCTTGTTGTTATTATTTTAGGCTCATTTAATAGTTGTAATTACTTTGTTTTGTAATAATTTTAGACTCATTTAATAATTAATAAGTTGCAGCTGTGGGAAATTCCTTAGAACATGTGCAGCTTCAGGTGGGTCTCTTTCTATGGAGGTTTAATCTGGTAGATGATAAGCTGTTCAATCATTTAATAGCAAGCTTGTCAATGATATTCATGGTCATTCGCAATAGCATTTATTGGAAGGAAGGGTTGATGATGCATTGGGAAAAACTCCACATTGCTCTTGATTCATTGGAAAAAACTCCACATCGCTCTTGGAAGATTTCTGACCTAATCTTTTAACTTTGAGTGATCTCCGCACACAGTAGCTTTAGCTACAGATACTTTTAAATGTAAGCCTAATACACAGCCGAGTAATGTAAGTGGTAATACTATTTTTTTCCAAAAGAATCTACCTGCTTTCCTGGGTAGGTTGTCTTGAGGATGGGAAAATTTTAATTGGTGGTAGTGATTGCAGGCTAGACCTAACAGTAGTTTCAAGAGCAGTTTCTTATCTGGTGACAGAAACAAGTTTTTACATTTTTCAAACTGAGGTATCTGAAATATGAAAAATAATATTTGCTTGAAATCTCTAATCTTACATAGTGAGGAACTACACTATCCGTGTCCATCTGTTTTGACATGTGCTAATTAACATTATTCTTAGATGATTTTGTTGTCCCAAACTATTGCGGTAGGAAGTCACTTGTACTTTCAATGCAGAAGGTATTATGTGGGTGTCTTCCAGTTTGTCAGCAGTCACAAAGCTGTTTCAAGTACCGTTGCCAAAACTGCAATTATAAGGATCTAACGGCAGTAATGTAACGCTTATGATTCACGGTCCTGTGCCATGCGTTGCGGTGAACGAGCCGCTTTGTTCAGCGGCAGAGATCATAGCTCAACCTTTCAGCCGGAGGGGGGGATCGCTGCCTGTGGAGCAAAGGGATGAGTCTGCAGTGTGCCTGCAGCAAAACCACCACATCTCAGTACACTAGTCTACAAGATCTCCACAGAAATAAATATATATGCTTAAGTGCTGGGTATATCTCTTACGGGTTCCATCCTTGCCTGCCAATTATATTTCATTGGCATTTAGAGTAGAATACCATTTTAAGCCGTATGTGAAGTCTGGGATTCTTCAGTTTAGAAGTTTAGAACTGCATGTCTTAAAAGGAATCTTTTTTTTCTTTTTTTTTCTTTTCTTTTTTTTTTTTTTTTTTTTTTTTTTTTCCTTGGCCTGGATCTGTGCCGGATTGTAATGCTAAGGCTATCCCTACTGTTGGAGATGATGGAGAAGCAGCTCAGGTGGAAAATGACCAGGGTATCTTCTAGCAGTGGAAAATTTTAATTTACAGCAGAACTACTGCAGATCAAATCCCACAGAGGTTGTTCTTCCTCCTTTTTATTTAATTATAAAGCGCTTATATTAGACAAATGTGTTGAAATGCTGAAAAACTGGGCATGTATAAAATAAGCATTTTTGCAATAACCATAAGACTTCACATTGCTCTGTAAAAAGACAAAACATAAAAATATCTATTTTAGAGCCAAAAAAGGCAAAAATAATAACCCATGTTACTGGAGTGATGTGACATGTGACTGTAAGAGAGGGATGTTCGTATAAGGGGTGTAGTGTCTGGGTATCTCACTCAGGTTTTGCTAGACCAATGGCATCTACTTGGGGCCAGCATGAGCATAGATGTTTTGTCAGGGAGACTAATCTGTCCGTGTCCCTTTTATAGAAGCAAAATGGATTAAAGTTTGTATCCAAGACAGAAGATGTAGGTGCTGTTGGCAACCCGATTAATCTGAGGAGTCCCTGCCTAGTCATCTGAAAAAAAAATGAGGAGGAGATTTTGCCAGTAGGGTTTCTCAGCTATGTAAAATTGTGCTATAGAGGCCATTCAGTTGGCTAAGCTGAGTGCTTCTAGATAGATAAGGTCATTTCAGGTTTCAAAACCATCAGGAGGGGTCAGAGCTGGTAGATGTACCCTGAGACAGCTCTGAGCAGCAGCACTTTGTTTGAAGAGCATGTACCACTCAAGTCCTACTACCCCCCTCCATGTTTTTTCCCCGTTGGGAGAAAGCCCAATTCTTCTCACATCCTCATTCTGGATGGGTGCAGCGCTCTGTCTCTTCAATAATTTCACAGAGGAAGCTCACAAGGAAATGAGGGGGTGATCCATGGAAGGGGGAGCCCTGG